CTGTCCCTAACCTCAACATCCGTCATGTCCCTCTCCTCGGTGAATACCAGTCAATATTGGGAAAATTAAAATCTCCCATCACCACCACCCTGTTGCTCCTACATCTTTCCATAATCTGTCTACATATTTGTACCTCTATCTCACGCTCACTGTTGGGAGGCCTGTATAGCCCCAACATTGTTACCGCACCCTTCCTATTTCTGAGCTCTGCCCCTATTGCCTCACTGCTCAAGTCCTCCATAGTGCCTTCCTTCAGCACAGCTGTGATATCCTCTTTGACCAGTAATGCAAGTCCTCCACCCCTTTTACCTCCCTCTCTATCCCACCTGAAGCATCTATATCCTGGGATATTTAGTTGCCAGTCTTGCCCTTCCCTCAACCAAGTCTCAGTAATAGCAATAACATCATACTCCCAGGTATTAATCCAAGCCCTAAGTTCATCTGCCTTACCTACTACACTTCTCGCATTAAAACAAATGCACCTCAGACCACCTGTCCCTTTGCGTTCATCATCTGCTCTCTGCCTGCTCTTCCCCTTAGTCACACTGACTTCATTATCTAGTTCCTTACAGGCTTTGGTTACTACCTCCTTACTGTCCTCTAACATCCTCATTTGGTTCCAATCCCCCCTGCCACATTAGTTTAAACCCTCCCCAACAGTGTTAGCAAAAGCATCCCCTAGGACATTGGCTCCAGTCCTGCCCAGGTGTGGACCATCCCATTTGTTATAGTCCCACCTCCCCCAGAACCGGTCCCAATGTCCCAAAAATCTGAACCCCTCCCTCCTGCACCATCTCTCGAACCACTCATTTATCTTGCCTATTCTTTCATTTCTCCTCTGACTAGCATGTGGCACTGGTAGCCATCCTGAGATTACTACCTGTGAGGTCCTACTTTTTAACTTGGCTCCTAACTCCCTAAATTCTGCTTGTAGGACCTCATCCTGTTTTTTTACCTATATCATTGGTGCCTATATGCACCACGACAGCTGGCTGTTCACCCTCCCCCTTCAGAATGTCCTGCAGTCAATCTGAGACATCCCTGACCCGTGCACCTGGGAGGCACCATACCATTCGGGAGTCTCGTTTTCGACCACAGACCTGCCTATCTACTCCCCTTACAATGGAATCCCCTATGACTATAGCCCTTCCACTCTTTTTCCTGCCCTTCTGTACAGCAGAGCCAGCCACGGTGCCATGAACCTGCCTTCCCCTGGTGAGCCATCTCCCCCAACAGTATCCAAAACGGTATACCTGTTTTGGAGGGAGATGACCGCAGGGGACACCTGCACTGCCTTCCTGCTTCTTCTCTGCCTTTTGGTCCTTCAGCAATCCTAATCTGCGGTATGACCAATTTGCTGAACGTGCTATCCACGACTTGCTCAGCATCGCGGATGCTGCAAAGTGAGTCCATCCGTAGCTCCAGAGTGTCATGCGGTCTAACAAGAGCTGCAGCTGGACACACTTCCTGCACGTGTGAAAGTCAGGGACATCAGCCGCATCCCTGAGCTCCCACACTGAGCAACAAGAGCATAACACGGGCCTGGGATCTCCTGCCATTTTTACTCTTAAGTTTAACTTAGTCCTACTATAATATCAAATACTAGATAAATGAAATGAAAAAAATTTACCAAATCACTCTACTTACCAGCACACAATTTTTTTAAAAAAAAAGAAAAGCCTTACCTATCAACACACCAGAGTCTTTTTTGTTTGGTCAGAGGAGGAGGGCGGGTGAGAGACACTACATGTGTAGTGCCCAAATATATCAGTTCACTCACCTTCCCAGAGCGCAATTTGACCACTCCCACTCAGCTCCACTGCTGAAATGAAGGGGAAAAGTAGAGAGACTTGGTAACCTAGAGAGGGAATTCCAGAGCCATTGGCCTTGATGTGAAAGGCATGATCACCGAAATGGGGAAAGCTTGAATACAGACTTTAGATGAGTGCAAATATGAGAGTCAGATGTTTACAGCACATAAGGAGGCCATTCAGCCCATCAAGTCTGTACTAGTCCAAAAAAAATCTGACTACACGAATCCCATTTTCCAACTCTTGGCCCATAGCCTTGAATGCTATGGCAGTGCAAGTATATGTCTGAATACTGCGGATCACAGCGATATGGATTGGGGTCCTGAAGCAATTTTAAAACAAGTGTGATAGGTTTGAAATTGAGACATTGTTTACCCGTTTGGCTAAGTTTTTTTGGAAGGCTTCTTAAAAACTTGTTTATGGGATGTGGGGTCTTTGCAAGCCAGTATTTATTGCACATCCTACCTGTCTTTGATAAGGTGGTATTAATCTGTTGCTGAACTACAACAGACCTTGGAATGTAGAGGCATCTATGAGCAAGGGAAATGAGCTTTAACAAAGAACAAGAATAACATGAGTTGTTCAAAAATGGCGGCAGAACTTGCTTAAATGTCAGCTTAGTATTTGAAGTTTGCAGCATCATATAGTTTGTTGCACAAAGAGAGAGAATTGCATATTTCACGCTACATTAAATTTCACCAAAAAAAATTGACTTTTGTGCCTGAGGATATGTAGTTTAGTGTCCATGTCTTTGAGTCTTGTCATTTTTGGATCTTACCTGTGGCTCATGCGTAGAGGGCCCAAAGTGCTCTTGTGTTACTTTGAAAAAGGCACATACACACAATGCATCTGGGTGATGAGTTAAACTGTCTCAACCTTAACTCTCCTGCACTTATTCTTCAACCTATGGGGTTTTTTTTGCCTTAGCTTTGCCTGTCCTGTGAGCAAGCTTTTTGCAGAGTTTAGATCCCGTTGCCAGGTTTAAAATGCTGTCACTTTACAATCAATGATTTTATATTTTTCTGTGTCACTGTCAGACTAGTCCTGGTGTCTTTTATTAGCAAGTCTAAAGATTTTTATTAGCAAGTCCTGGCATGAAAATGTGTTGTCTTGAATTTTTAGTGATGTGACCATCCATTCCTGTCATTTCTATTGGTTTGTTCTCAACATTCTTTGAGCTTAGTGCTGTTTGACAAACCAGAAATCTTGAACCTTGTCAGTCTATTTTAGGGCAATCTCAAGCACCAATAATAAATGAGTTGGTGAACGTGTCAAAAAGCAGTTTGGTGACCATAATATCATGTTTAGCTCACAGGATAAGGAAGTTTTACACTGGAGTTTGGACTTTCCAACTCCATCCTTTAAGATGGTATTCAGCCAGGGGGCCTGGTTGTCGTCATCTTCCTTGGCATTAAAATCCATGAGATATGATCTTTGAGGTAATACACTTGCTAGATTTACGATATGGACTGGACCAAACCCCCTGAAAATATATTCATGGTCTAGACTCTCTAACTTTTTTCTTATTTTAAAGGCAAGTGTAAGGTGTTGCATTCCACATGCAATTTGATTGGTCAAACTACTCAACATTAAGCAAAACCTACTTTATTCATACACTATAGCTAAAATACAACAAAAAGAACTAATTTTAGAATAACTTAACTCTATTGGAAAATTTAACAGAATAATTAACTATTCAACAGTATCCCATAAACACGCCCTTGGTAAAACGGATTGTCTCACATGCAATTTTAGCAACAAGAAGAGAACCCCAGCTTTTAGCTGTAACCAGGAGATGAAAAATTGCTTCCACATCTAGCTTCGCGACCCCAGCATCTGCTACTGAAAAACTAAAACTCAAAATCCTGGTTCTTTGGGAGCTTGACCCCACTCATTCAGGCTGCTGTTATTGTTCCAACCATTTTATTTTAAGAACACAAGGTCTCAAACTGTTTACTCTAGTGGCTCTGAGTAGACTGCTTGTCACCCCTCTCTCAACCTTTCTTCATTTTAAAAAAAAAAAAAAAAAAAAAATTCCAGGATGGGATACACCACCTTAAAGCCATAGTATCGTCACAAATATCTAAGTTTGAAGAGAAGGTTTCTTTTAGTTTGTTCTCAGTACGTGCATAAATGCTGATGAGTTTGGGAAAGTATTATCATTGAGCTTAAAATGAGTGCC